ATTTGTGTAATAGCACATAATAATTTGTTTATGCCAATAACCAATAAATTATAAGCTTTGCAGCTTTTCGGAAATTCTGAGAGCTTTGGCGTTACCGCCAAGCAGCACTGCGTAAAATATGATTCTCATTGGTTCGCTCTCATTGTCACTCTCGAATGTCACGTTATAGGCGGACGTAATCCGTGTACACACTAATCGGGTAATTTGAATTTGTTATATGCATTTTAATTGTTTGAATTTCATAGGGTGGGAACTGTTAGCTCCGGATAAATTTATTTGAGTAATGTAGAAATTTTATTAATATTGCCCAATAAAATTATAACGTTGACGCATTTAAAAAGAAAAGTTCATATAAACTCTTGTACTTGTACGTGCCCTTACTTTTTTGCTGCGGGCACGCAAAATTTATTTTCGATAAATTTTGTTAATTAAAACACTATATTTTCAGTATTTCATAAGGGTCTCAGGTTTTAGTAGTAAGAAGATTTAATTTTACATGCCCTTACTTTTCTGCTGCGGGTACGCAAAATTTATATTCAATCAATTTGGAATATACCGTAGATATACATTCATGTATATTACCAGAATATTTGTTTTGGACATACTAGGTATATTCACCTACACATATACACAATATGTACATAGCTGGCATGTTCATCTGCACATATACCCAATATGTACATACCTAGGAGATACTTTTTATGAATATACATGCATGTATATTCCACGAACATTCAACCATGTATATTCCGGCAATGTTCTGTATATTTTTTGAACATTCTGGGATATTCATAGAATATCAAATGCTATCTGCAAACCGCCCTACTTAATTGTAATAGATTAGAAAGAAAAATCTGAATTTCCTTTGCAGGTGAACAATTTGTTTTGCGCGCTGGGCAGCTTTTCTGCAGACAGGACTTTGAAAAAGAGCTCTATCTCATGCAGCAGGCCCATAGCGGGGACGAAGACCTGCTGGATGAAAACAGCAGGCCGCGGGACGGCAGGCGAGGCCCTAAAAGGCCGCGAACCATCCTCACATCGGCCCAAAGGCGGCAATTCAAAGCCTCTTTCGAGGTAAGACCGATTGAAATCGAACCGGGTTCGGTAGTTTAAATGTTGGCTTCTCAGGTCAGCCCGAAGCCCTGCCGCAAAGTGCGAGAAGCGCTCGCCAAAGATACTGGCCTGAGTGTCAGGGTGGTGCAGGTGTGGTTCCAAAACCAGCGGGCCAAGATGAAGAAAATCCAAAGGAAGCAGAAGCAGGAGGATGGGAAGTCGCCCAGCGACAAGGAGAAGAGCGACAAGGAGGATAAAAATATCAAACAAGAGTCAAGTCCGGCTAGTAGTGAGTTTGGGCTCGGGCTGGGCTATGGAAGCTCTGGGCAGCCCCTAAACCCCAACATGCCCTACTCGCCAGATGGTAACGTTAAATTTACTTGTTTTACATAGAATATAACATGTAGTATGTGAAAAATTCCAGATAACTACCCAGCGCATTCAGGCGAATCGTTCTGCAGCTCGGACATATCTTTGGATGATAGCACGAACTTTGACCATCTGGATGAAGCCACTTCGGACACGATTTCGCTACAGAACTTGGAATTGCAGTCGCAATCACACCATAGCGACAACGTCCCATCCAGTGTGGCCAATCCTATCGACAAGCTCTACCTCATGCAGAACTCGTACTTCAGCACTGAGCAGTAAAATCGGCTCCTCATCTGGCCTTGTTTTCATTTTGTTGATTTATGCAGACGTTTATTTATTTTCTTGTACATAGAACCAAAGCAAATCGCTGCCTTGCACACTGGCACTTATTTATTGTATGTATAAATATCCGAAACCTTTCGTTTCCCCTTAAGTCTACCTTAGGATGAAATCTGGTCGAATTATTAATTGTGATGGACTATGACTTATGCCAAATATAGTGTTTAATACTGCCTAGATCTTATTAAGTATATTTTAAATAAAATATTTCAAAAACAACTTAAACTTAATTTGTATGATTTGGTGGGCCCCTTGATAAGTCCTTCGTAATCCTTTCGCTCAATCAATGCTGGAATGCTTAACACTATCGCGTTGGGGCAGATGCCTCCTTCCTGGCTGCATCTTGCAATAGCTGTGTGTCCACTTCATCCCCAGGCAGCTGCACATATCTTACAACTGAGCCTCTGATGAAGCAGTTTTTCACTGACAACTTCAAGAATAACAACCGTTAGGGCCACACTCAATTACTACCGACCTATTTGCATGCTTTGAGCTAATCGGCAACTAGCATTGATTGAAGCAACTTGTAAAGGTAATAGACAAAGTATATTTACCATGTGAGGATACTTCTCCGTGTCGGTGACGCTAATTTCGGTCAACTTTATGTTGAGGTACTGGTCCACTGAGTGCAGCGTCCCACAGATGCTGCAATTGAGTTAAACAACTGAAAACCCACTCAGACTCATCTTGGTGGATGCCACTTACCTCAGATCGTTTTTCAGCTCCACCACCACGTCCTTTCCCACCAGGGACTTGAAAAATGAGTAGAAAAGCTGAAAAGTGAGCAAAGGGGACTTAGCAGGTCTTGATGGGGACTAAATAACACGTTTCTTACCATTTTTTCGGCTTAATGTTTAAATAACACTAAAACTAGGCTATGTTTCCCGTAAATGACAACCATAGAACAAGGCTTCTGACAGCTCAATGTAACCATAGATGAAGACAACCACAGATCACAGAGGTTATAGATTGGAAACTGCCATATACG